GGATGGCACAGGACAGGACAGAGTTCAGATCTGCTGTTTATCGGGTTGCTATCAGAAGTACTCAACTCAGTGGCACCTAACAACAACAACAGTGATTTCAAATAGCTCACCATGTCTTTCTTCTAAATTTTAGTTGGGAAGCTCTACTGGAATCTGTTCACCATGAGTGACCTTCTTGGTATTAGAAATACCGGTGGCATCCCTTATAGTGTCCTAGCAATATGGATGCCACCGTAGGACCACAACTGAGAGGTGAATGCTGACCACAACCAACCTCGGAACATGGCTAGGCTGGGGAGTGTTGTGTTCTATGTTCAGCAGGGTCACTGTGGACCGAAGCCAGCCTGGCACGACCCAACACCAGCAGAACCCTTCACTCTGGGTCTTTTTCCAGAGCCGTGCCATGGTGGATGACGGCACTGCCCACCAGCTCCATGTGGCAGACATCACCAGGCCATTCTGGCCCTTGTTGACCTCGTTTCACCTCCATCCAACCCTATCTGCAAATCCCAAATGCTTTCATGTCTTAAATATTTCTCTAATTCACCCATTTCCCTTTCAACTCTATTTTTGCTGTCTTTGTCCAAAAATACCATCATCTTCTGCGTGAACAATTGTACTTTAGTGACCTGCTTCCATTCTGTTCCCTACCCTAATCGCTTCTCACACTGTAGGTCTAATCTTTGTACAGTGCAGATCTGATCATTTCAGCCCTTTGCTTAAAATCCTTTCCATTGCTCTTCGGATAGGGATGAGCCCTGTAACAGGGTCTTGAGGGGAACTGACCCCTTCTTTACCCTCCAGCCTTCCTCTGCATGCCTTTCTCATTTCAGGCTTCTGGACGAGTGTTTTCATTGCACACATTAATACGCATTTCTCCCTCTCTTCCCCTTTATTTCCAGGGAAGTGTCTTCCCGGCCTCCAGCCTCCACCCTCTCCATCCTGCTTCTGTCTGAAACACTCAGAGCACCCCACATCTCCGATGGTTTACTCTGTCTCAGCTACCCCGTTACTTTCTTTAGGAAAAACGTTCCTGTCTCTCTTCTGCAGTTAATTGTAAGCTCCCGTAGGCAGGGGCCACTGTTGTTGTTCTCATCATCCTGTTTCCAGAAGCCAGCATGATGTCTCACACTGTAAGGTCCTAGTAAGGCGTGAGGTTCAAATCCTTCAGCTGCTGCACTAGAGGATGGGCACCCTCCTCCCATGAGATTTACAGCCTCTGAAAACCCGCGGGAGGGTCAGCTATGAGTCAGCTTCAACTCCGCTGCATACACAAAGAATAATTTGCTGAGAGACTCAAACTTGAAGAACAAGGCTTAGACATCTGTTTCCTTAATCTCCATTTTTCGCATCTGTCAAATGGAAATGCTTTTTTCCTGTCTTTGAGGCTCATTGGGAGAAAAGCAGTAATAGCTTTCTCTGGTGATTATTCTCCTAGATCATGAAGAGTTGAGGGTAGAATCCTAGCTAGAGATGATGTCCCTTGAGAAAGCAAGTCTTTCTCTAGTAGAAGAATGGTGGAAGTGAGGAGTGTAGGAATGAGGGGTTTATTATATTTTTTTTAAAAGTCTGAGTACATAGGATGCTCTCATTTTTTTTTATCCTGAGAACTGTGAATGTCAATTTAAAGTATCCTCCCCTCTCCACCCCGATCCCAGTTCGCTTTTTTCCTTTAGAAAAGAAAATCCAGTGGTGATTACTTTTGTAAAACATAATGCATTATAATGATTGTATGAAACACAATATGAAGAACAGTGTGAAACACAATGTATATGAACTTCATAAGCAAACCAGTTAAAATAAAATGCTCCAGAAAAAAAAAGAAAGAAAAGAAAATCCTTTCCTTGTTATACAGTCGTGTCCCCGCTCCCTCAGTCCACTTTACTATGCAGCTCTTATTCTGAACTCTTTTTATGCCAATAATACCTAATCATATATTCCTTTTATACAGCTCTCTCTCTCTCTCAATGCCATGTACATTATTTATCCCCTCTTTTGTTTCCCTACAACCGCCGTGTCAGTCCTGTTTTGTAACAGTAGCATTATGCACGATTTGTCATTTTGTGACTGAGATATTTCACTCAGCATGATATCCTCCATGGTCACCCATTTTGTATAATAGTTCATGAGTTCTTTGTTTTCCAGTGCTGCATAATATTCCATTGTGTGACTGTACCACAGCTTCTCTATCCATTCTTTTGTTGATGGGCACTTAGGTTGTTTCCAACTCCTTGCTATTGTGAACAAAGCAGCAATAAACATGAGTGTGCATATATCTGCTTGGGAGGCGGTTCTGGTTTCTTTAGGGTAAATTCCCAGAAGTGGAATTGCTAGCTCAAATGGTACTTTTATTTCCAACTTTTTGAGAAAGCGCCATACTGCCGTCCATTGTGGTTGCACCATTTTACACTCCCATCAACAATGAATAAGGGTTCAGCATTTGTTGCTTGCTGTTCTGTTATATTTTGCTATTCTGACTGGGGTGAGATGAGATCTCATAGTAGTTCTGATTTGCATCTCTCTTAGAGCTAGGGGTTTTGAACATTTCTTCATGTGTTTGTTCATCATCTAAATGTCTTCTTTGGTAAAGTGTCTGTTCATATCCCATGCCCATTTTTCAATTGAGTTGTTTATCTTGTTGTGGTGCTCGAGTATTCTATAAGTTTATAGAAGTCCCTTATCTGACATATCATTACCAAATATTTTTCCTCAGTCTGTGGCTTCTCTTTTTACCCTGTTGGAGAAGTTTTTGAATGTGCATAGGGATTTGATTCTTAGAAGGTCCAGTTCATCTGTTTTATCCTTTCCTGGTTGTATGGTTTTCAGGATGCTTGGAAGACTGTTCATGTTGTGGATTAGGGCTTCTAGGGTTCTTCCAAGCTTTTCTCTAATGAATTTTATAGTCCTTGGTTTTATTTATTTTTTTTAATATTGTTATTAAATTTTACTAGTTTCAATGAGCATTCACAGGGATTCTGGGCTTTCACTCCTTCATTGCCGCACCATTCTCTCCACCCTCCTCCCCAGTTTATTCTTCTTCCCCGCCATCCGAATGTCTGTTTTAATTGTCCAATTGCCACAGTGCTTGTCAAAGTCAGTTCTGATTAATCTCCTTTGTCGGTGTGTCCTTTGCCATTCCCCATCACTCCTCCCGGAGAGAGACTTCACCCTGATTCATAAGGAAAAGGGGATGGCGTATTCTCAGTCCTTGGTTTTAGTCCTAGGTCCTTGATCCACTTTGAGTTGGGTTTTGTGTATGGTGTGAGGTGTGGGTCTTGTTTGAGTTTTCTGTACATGGTTTTCCATCTCACATACTTTGGGCATGTGACCAAGAGAGACTGGTCCTTGGAGAAGGACATCATGCTTGGAAGGGTGGAGGGACAACGCAGGAGAAGAAGACTCGAGATGATATGGATTGATACAGTAACTGGGGCAATGGGAGATTGATGTGTCGGGTTTAGTGAGACTGGCTCAGGACAGGGAAGGATTCAGAGCTGCTGTACATAGTGTTGCGATGGGTCACAGGTGACTCGATGGCTCATAACAATAGTAACTACATAGAGTGATGAGTGAAAAGAATATGAACTTTGAACCTGCACAGATGTGATTGCAGGCTAGTTCATTCACCCCTGGTGAATGAACAAGGACAAATTATTTAGCCTCTGGAAGTCTCAGCTTTCTCTCCCGGGTAACAGAAATACTTGTGGTCTTGTTATGAGAGGTAGCAACATGTGTAGTGTCTGGTACAGAGGTGGTATTTGATAAATATTTATTCCTTTTCCTGATTCTTTAAAAATGTGCTATCCTATATGCCTGTATATGTAATTATTTTACATAAGCAACATGAATATTTTACCCAACTTGTAACCAAATATGTGACTATTTCTTAATACTTTCTGAATATGTAGAAAGATAAATGAGAGAAGACAATTTCTTACCTAACTATAAATTATTTCTGAGTCTGGGAAAGATTTTTGGAGTGCATAGATGGTGCAAATGGTTAAGTACTTGGCTGCCAGCCAAAGGGTTGATGTATCAAATCCACTCAGAATTGCCTCTTTAGAAAGACTTAGCACTCAGTCCACTTTTGAAAGATCACTACCATTCATCAAATTCTATTTGAAACTCTGTGTTCAACATGATTCAGAACAGATTCAGTGGTCACTATTTTTGGGTTTTGCTCTTTATAGAAATATTAATTTCAGGGTCAAGCATTTAAAACCAAGCTTATCAGAGTCAAGTTAATTGTAACCCATAGTAAAGTTATTGAGCAGTGTGCAACTGCCCCATAGGGAATACTAGTGGCCTAGTGATAAGAAGCTGCACTGCAATCCTGAAGCACATGGTTCAAATCCACCAGCTGCTCTGCAGGAGAGGGATGGGCAGTCTCCTTTGGCACTATTTACTGCCTCTTAAAAATTGCTGGAGAAGCAGCTCTGATGAGTCACTTCTAACTCAGCAGCATGCAACACCAATCTTTATGAAACACCCTGCCACATATTTCTCCTGCCTGGTGTGTTTGAACTACTGACCTTTGGGTTAGAAGCCAAGCATTTAATCATTGTACTACTGATGTGCCAAACGTGGTAATGGGCACCCATGGTGGGCAGTGTTGGCTGGAGCTTCCCGACTAAATCAAGCCTGGAAGCAGGAGCAGCATCCACTTCCGAAATGGCTTGCCTCCGGAAACTCTATGTATGAACAGTGCTCTGGCTGTTCGTTCATAGGGTCACTATGAGTCGTTTACAACTCGACGGCCTAACAACAACTACCTGCACTTAGGGCTAGTAGTAGCAGATTAAATCAATTCTATGAAAAGAAATGTTTGTAAATGTTATGAGATACAACTTTTTTGGGGGGGAGAGGAGAAGCAGCAGATGGCCTGAAAGTCTCAAAAATGTTTTTATTTGTAACAGTTTTGTATAAAAATCTCCAAATACTTGCATGCTTTCTTTCGTTAGTGACCTAAGTCTCAGTCATCCTCTTTTTCTCTCTTGTAGGTGTGGCTGGATCTCCTGAAGCCTATCGTGAAGCAGATTAGAAGTAAGTACGTGTCATGTTTAACAGTAATGCCGCGGATCAGACCGGATGTTGTCGTGTTTAGATGTCTTTTGTTCTCAGGCATTGAGTACTAAGACTACAGATTCTGGGTTACCGCCTTGATTGCGTTTCATCATTGACTAGTCCTTGCATTATTAAAACCTGTCTTCTGCAGTCTTAATACATAACAATTTGGTAATCAAAACCTCACTTGGGAAATCAAAGGCCATTTTAGTAACAGCTAAAGTATGCTCTTATGCCCCAGAATAATTGGACTTGACTTGCCTGTGACAGTCTGTCATCCTCTCATTTTTTGAAAGGGAGAGGCGGGTCCTTTCTTCATCACACGCTTTGTAAATGATATGGCCTGCTTCTTCATGCTTGTGAAGCCAGAAGGCAGTTGCTCTTTAGAAAAAGAGCCGAGGCCTTGCTGTCGAGTCAAAACTGACTCCGGCTGACCCTTTCGGTGGCTGTAAATCACACGAGAGGAGATTGCTGTCTGTCTGCAGGGAGCTGCTGGTGGATTTGAACCCCTCAGAGAGGTATGGGCCTCTGGCTTGCAGTGAAGCTGTCTATGGACTGCGACCAGAGGTCTTCCTTAGAAAAATAAAGGGCCCATGGTTGTGGGTGTATGTATCTCTCTTAATGACAAGCAGAACCCTGAAAAGATCGTGGTGTTCACCTTCATTGTACACTAGAGAGAAAGATTAAGGAGGGTCCTAGGAGTTGATGTAATAGTTAATCTCAAGGTCGGTGGTTCGAATCCACAATTGTGCCAAGGGCGTAAGGTGTGGTCGCAGTCCTCTTCTATCAAAGCCACAGCCTTGACAACTCTGCAGGGCAGTTCTGCGCTGTGTAGTGGGGTCTCTGTGAATCAGAATGTATTTGATGGCAGTGGGGTTGGGTTCTGGTGGAAGAAAGGGATAAGGAACCTTGGTGGGCCAATGGTTGAGCGTTTGGCTGTTGACTGAAAGGTCAGCGGCGCAAACCCGTCAGATATTCTTCTAGAGATAGATGTGATGGTGTGCTTTCGTAAAGGTTATGGCCCTGGAATGTCTCTGGGGCAGGTCACCCTACAGGGCCACTCAGAGTCAGAATTGGCTCAATTCCACCAGGTTCGGGAGATTTTCTTTTTCTCCTTTTTATACAGAGGAGTAAGGGACCCTGGTGGTTCAGTGTTTTATAAACATGCAGCTATAAGCAAATAGTTTGGCCACTTGAGCTCCCCCTGCTGCTCAGAAGAGAAAGACGTGGAAGCTTGCCTCCTCAGTAAGTGTCACAGAGCCCTTCTGGTCTCTTCTACAGATTTACTGTGAGTTACAAATGAACTCAAGAGCAGTGAGTTTTTGAGAGGAGTAAGGACCGTGGTTGGGCAAGTCCTTTGCTATTGGTTGACATCTGAAAGGTTACTAGTTCAAATCCACGCAGTGGTGCCATGGAGTGTTTGTTGGTAATACCTGGCGGTCTGTTTCTGTGACAATAACAGTTCACTGTTGTCTGGACAGTGATTCTGGTCGACAGCCCACAGGTCCCGTCAGTCAGGAGCTCGCTCGGTGGCCGCCAGCAGGAGTGGAGTGGGGTCTCTGGGGGCTTCATGGTTAAGCAAAGTGCCTTTGGAAGAAAGACCTAATGAAAATTTCCAGGATACCAGCCAGAACACAGTCCTACTTGACACAGACAGAGTCTCCAGGAATCAGAATGGACCACAACAGGTGGTTGGTATTCTGGCAGGAAAGGAGTAACCAGTTGTCATCAGCTTTGTGGCATCCTTGCGTTTGTCCAGGTAGAACTGTGCTCCTCTGGGTTACCATGACCGGTTTTTCAGAAGTAGACCAGTAAGCCTTTCTTCTGAGGCACTTCTGTGTGAACTTGAACCTCCAGCTTTGAGTTGAGCAGCTGAGGTAATTCTCAAGCTTTTAACACCCATGAACTTGATGAGCATGAAACTCAAATAATTTGTAAATTCCCCCCTCCCCCCCCAGAGATGATAGTTTATAGAACAGGATTCAGATCTTTTGTTCATAGGCTCCCTATGAGTCATACTCGACTCAATGGCACTTAACAACAAGAACAATTTAAAGAGTCCTTGGAGAATGACATGATTGCTTGTAAGGGTGGAGGGACAGAGTAAGAAAGGAAGACCCTGGGTAAGACAGATTGACTCAGTGACTGGGATGATGGGGGTAGGTGGATCAGAGACAATGAAATTGGTTCAGAACAGAGCAGGGTTGAATCTGTTGTACATAGGGTCGCTGTGAGTCACAAGCAACGAGAAGGCATATAACAACAACAACAACAACAACATTGAAACCGCTTACAGCAATGTATATAAGTGTAATAAACATATAATATGGTATTTGTATGCCCTTTGTGAAATGGAAATTGATGTTGGTGTTCTATAATTTAATTATTGATGCAGAAAATTAAAAAGACCATTATTTCTTCACAATTTCCTGGATGTCCTAGGAGACTTAAGTGCAGGAGAGACACCCTGCAGAGAGAAGTCTGCTGGCCTGATGTGCAGAGGCTGGAAGATGTTGTTTGTCTTTCGGATGGTTAATGGGGGACACATTAGTGGCGGAACAGTCTCTTTATTGTGTCGCTGGTGCAGCCCCCAGTGCAGTGTCTGTTGCCGGCCAAGTCAGGACTGGCTGGCTCCTAGCTTTTTCCATCTCCTCCACATGCCTCGACCGGGCTGGGCAGCAAAGCTGCTGTTTTGTCCTCATGTCTTTCTCGCTTCAGGTTCTCAGAGCGTCTGAAAATCCCAGTCTGCAAATTGCTGCAAGGAAGAGTATAGCTTTTCTAGTCATTCTCATTTTCACACCTCTTATCTTTGTGCTCACAGATGATTCTGTTACTTTTTAGGATAATTAGGGAAAAGAGGCTTAGATTCTCTTCGCTTTAGTATTTCCATGTCTTTTCCACAGACTCCCCCTCAGTGTATGCACTGCTCACATTTTACCTTGTAACAATATCTCTGATTTTGCCTTTTTCTAAATTTGAATGTGTTATCCTAGAAAGTTTCCCTATTTTTGTGATGGTGGAAACAGAGCAAAAGGTGTTTTCTGCTTTTATAATGTTGCTGTTGAGTGCTTTTGAGTCGAGCACAACTCATAGCGACCCTATGAACAAAAGGCTTGAAGCCCCTCTACAACTCTCAACATTTATCAGCGTTCATAGGGTTTCCAGAGGTGTGTTCTTTAGGAAGTAGATGCCACTCCTGCTCCCAAAGAAATCTTTTATAATAGTTCTCATAAAATCAGACTCCACTGTATAATTTCTGCAGCAGGTCAATTCCAGCTCATCACACGCCCATCTGGCAGAGTAGCCTGGCCTCCAGGGATTTCTAGACTGTAATCTTTATAGAGGCAAGTCACCAGCAAATCTCTCACAGAGCCACTGGCTCAGAGGAGGACTGAGATTTGAACCACCAACCTTTCCGTTAGCACTCGAGCACCTCACTGTTGTGCCAGCAGGCATCCTTGGATTGCATCACAGTGCACTCACAGAATTGGACAGTGTGGGTTACCCAACAGGCAAGGTAAGCATAGGCTTACTTGTGTGTGTTTACTGATCTCTAGAGAACAATTTCACTTTTTTCCAGACCAGAGGTTCTGTTTCCAGATGTGGCTGGCATCTGTCTCTCTCCCTGCTCCATAGCACCTTCCTATAGGATCCAAGCCTTTTTAAATTCCAGCCCCTGACAGGGATGGAAGGAAGCACAAACAGACCTGTGTGGCTCTGCCTATGGGTAACCCAGCCCCAGAATGTGAGTTTAACGCTTTCACTCCAAATGGCTTGTAAGCCTGTTAGCCTGTAGCTTATACATCACAAGAGAGGCTGACCCAGTTGTTGATTTTGTAATTATTTTGTTTTCCATTTGTTTTTACAATATAAATTATTCTTCTTCTTTTGTAACCACATCTTTGATTTGATTTTCATTTAACGGAGAGTCATCCGGTTTGTTCAAAGTCTTCTCTTCACTCCCTGTCTACGTTCTTCTGATTTTATATTATCCTGCGACTGGCTAATTTATGAGACACTTCTGATAGGCTCTGGCTGCCTGTAACAAAGACAGGGCAATGTTTGGGACTGTTGATTTCCCTGACCCAGGAGAACATCTAACACGAAGGGCTCCGTGCATATTTGAAGAGCACATTAGCAACTGGACCGTGAAGTGGGCTACATATTTTTTTAAAAGGAAAAGATCAGATATAATGTCAAGGCAAAAATGTGAAACTCTTTGCTAAAGGTCTGGTTTGTTTGGGTCCCGTCCCCCCCCCCCACCCCCCCGCTTGGTTACCTTTATTTGAAGGGTTGGGAGTGAAATGAAAATACCATTTAGCCTAAGAACTTGTAAGCTGTCTGCGAATCAGCTCACTTCAGGAAGACTCTCTGGCCATTTCTGAGTACCAAAATGTGTGCAGGTTTCTCTTTTGAATATATTCTGTATTCAAGAACTCCTGTACAAAGTCTCTTCCACACATGACAAATTCTTTGTTTCTGCCAACTCTCAGTGAAGGGGCAACCAGCATACCACCACCTCCCCACACAAGGAGCTTTGGAATACCCTCCTTCATTGGTTTATTTATCGCATATGTTTCTTTATCCGTTTCTGTAGCCATCGCACTTTCTTCCCATCTCCCAGCGAATTCGTTCATCCAGGCTGAGCCTGAGGAGACCCGGAGGCCCCTCTGTATGTTGGTCATCTGTCGCTGATCCATGTTGTCCACCGTGTTTCGAACCCTCTGGCTAAATTATTTTTTTAATGACATAAATAACATTAGCTGTTCTATATTCTGCATTACTTCATTCTTCATGTGTTTAAATCTTATTGGACAAAAGCAGCTAATAGAATAAATTTTTGAAGATGTAATTTTTTTTTTTTAAATTGTAGCTCCTGAGGAAAAGGTTTCATTAACTCTATGTAATACCTTGGTGGAAGTCTTAAAATGAACAAGAAAAAAAAAATTTAAAAAATGAAGAGGCAGAGAGAAAAGTGCAGCAATGAATGAATGGAAATCCAAAATCTCTGTAAATGTTCATTAAAATTAATTTTTTAAAAAAAGAAGAAGAACAAGAAATGTTTCTCCACAGTGTGAAAGCGTGTCTTAGAGCTTTTAGTCAGGCACTGTTGCCGTTATTACTAGTATCAAGTCGAGTACAACTTACAGTGCTCCTCTGAACAACAGATCTGAACCCTGTCCTAGCCTAGGCTGTCCTCAATCTCTTATACTTGATCCTGTAGTTATAGACACCGTGTGAGTCCATCACATTGAGGGTCATCTTCTCTTTCACTGACCTTTCCAAGTGTGATGTCCCTTTCCAAATACGGACCCCTCCTAACACCAGGCCTCAAGTATGTGAGGTGGAGCTTCTCCACCCTTGTCTCCAGGAGCACCTTGGCTCTACGTTGTCTAAAACATACATGCGTGTTCTCTTGGTCGTCCTTGAGATAGTCAGGCCTCTACAATACAGTCAAGCCATATAGACCTAGGAAGTGGACCATGATATCTTTGGGAACCATTGTCATTTTTGTTGTGTATTGTCGAGTCAACAACAGCATAGAAAGAGAGATCAGTTGGCCTAGTGGACAGAAAGTGATGCTACCAAGCCAAAGGTAGGTGACTTTAATCCGTGGCCCTCAGACTTGTTTTTTAATTGTTTTTGGTCAAACATTCTTCTCGGTCATATAATCCTGGTGTGTCCACTTGCTGTACAGAGGTAACTCATGGTTGCTGTGATGCTGAACACAGTGACACTGATGTGTCAAATGTGATAATGGTCACCCAAGGTAGACCGTGTTTGGTGGAGCTCCCCAATTAAAACAAGCTTCGAAACAGGATTGGCATCCACTTCCGAAATAGCTTGCCTCCGGAAACTCTATGACCCTGGAGAAAGGATGAAAGTCACACAAGCGTGCAGGTCTTTTGTTCATAGGGTCCCTATGAGTCGCCTACGACTTGAGGGCACTTAACAATGACGGCTGTCAAGTAAGAACCCACCCATAGCTGACCCTCTGTCAGGTTTTCAGAGACAGTTAATTTCACGAGAGGAGATTGCTCGTCCGTCTCCTGGGGAGCAGCTGGTGGCCTTGAACAGTGTTCCTTTGGGATTGCAGCACAGCTTCTTGCCACTAGGCCACCAAAGCTCCCTGGTAGAGATCATAAAATATCATTTGCCCAGTAACAAAGCTCAGAAGACTTGAAGGGACTGAAAAGGACGACAGATAGAAACAGGAAGCCCAAGAAGGGAGTGGATAGAGTACCACTCGTTGAGGGGGCTGCAACCAATGTCACAGAACAAAAATGTGTGAATTGTTGACTGGAAAGCTCGTTTGATCAGTAAATGTCACATACATGATGATTGAAAAGAAGTGTGTGTGTGTGTGTGTGTGTGTGTGTGTGTGTGTGTGTGTGTGAGAGAGAGAGAGAGAGAGAGAGAGAGAGAATGAATCTAGACTTGGCCGGTTAAGTTGACTTGGGAGTTGGTGATGAACTCCTGGGACTTGGGAATGAGATTTGTTATTTGGAATCTGACATACCCTGTGAAGCCTCATCCTTTAATGGCACTGCAAGCGCAAGTCAATAAATGCTTTATTGCTCTTTTCTTCTGTAGGGCCAAAGCATGTGGTTGTTAAATTTGTGGTGAAATTCTTTCCACCTGATCACGCACAACTCCAAGAAGAACTCACACGGTAAGTGCTTTAAAAAATGGAGTATTTCTTGTGGGGTTCTGGGGGAAAGAGAAAATGAATGTTTTATATTGATTAATTATACATTTTCAGTTGCTAAAATGTCTGCTCCATGCTTAATAATTTAAGCCTGTTTCTGGTGGCTCTACTAAGAAAAATAGGAGGGGACAAGGAAGTGCCAGGATTTCCCCAGAGCCTGATTCCTTTACGGGCTGAACTTCATCTGTGCTGTCTTCTGTGACATGAACTGGACTGATGACCTGTTTACTGCTTTAATTTCTCTTGTGTCTGTCACATCCTGAGATAGTTTGGGGAAATAAATCTTTTCTGTGAAACAGAGATGCTACTCACAGTTTTTCCTTGTTGCCGCCATGGATAAGTGGATTTGGCGTGAATGTAGATCATTTTCTCTGGAGTGTGGCCACGTTGGGGAAGGATGAGCATTGGCTCGGTCCTGCCACTTGCTAGCTGTGTGATGGGCTGGTCCCCTGTTCTTCAGTGTGTCTGATAATTCCTCCCTAATCTACTGTTTGCTGGGCCAGAGTGGTTTCGAGGACGAGCAGTGGGGACCTGCAAATGACAGAGTCATCCACAGCGTCCTCATCATGTCACCAGCACCACCACTACTCATTTTTCAAATTAGAAGTGGTCTTCCAAAAGAAAGAACTGGTAGGATCATGTTGAAATAATGATCCCTTCAAGATTACCCTATGAGGACATTAGTTTGACCTGCCAAATTCTTGACGCATGTACCCTTCAAAAGATAATGGTCTCATACCTCATGATGGACTTTTGTCATGTAAATAATACCTAATCATATATTTTTTTAATTTTATTATTATTTTGTGTGCTTGTACCGTCAAATCAGATCTGACTGGTACAGGAGGAGATTGTCCCTCCTTTCCCGGCAGAGCATCTGTTGGATTCGAACCGTGCGCCTCTGGGATTGCAGTGCAGCTTCTTGCCACTAGGCCACCAGAGCTCCCCCTAATCATATATTTCTTTTGAACAGTTCTTTCCCTCATCTATTTCAATGCCATGTACATTATTTATCCCCTCTTTTCTTAGTTTCCCCTTCCAACTCCCATGTCAGTCCTGTTTTAGAACAGTGGCATTACGCAGCACTTGTCCTTTGGCACCTGAGATATTTCACTCAGCATAATGTCCTCCAGGGTCACTTATTTTGTATAATATAAAAATATTATATATAATTTATATCTGTAATATATAAAAATGAGTTCCTTGTTTTTCAGTGCTGCATAGTATTCTATTGTGTGAATATTCCACAGCTGCTCTATCCATTCGTTTTTTTCATGGGCACTTGGATTGCTTCCATCTATTTGCTATTTATTGTGAATGACAATAGTCCAGAATAAGAGCTGCATAGCAATGTAGACTGGGGGCGGGGTGGGGCGGAAATTGTGCAACAATGAAAGTTTTTGGTGTTTTTTTTCAAAGGGAAAAGTGAACTGGAGGTGTAAGGAGGAAAATGTGTAACAATGAATGAGTGGCAATCCAAGTTCACGATAAACTTTTGTTAAAATCTCAATTAAAATTTTTTTAAAAGTTTGGTATCTTGGGTGCTTGAATGTCTTAACATTATTTTTTCTTATTTAACATTAGTTGCATACAAAATTCATATATATTGTGTATTACACATTCCTTCATTCACATTATGTTTCCTACACTCATTTCTGCACCTTGTATTTTATAAAATTAATCATCATTGATCTGTGTCAATTATCACCCTGTGTTCTCATGTTCCTACTGGATCTTTCCTAATTTTGTCACCCCCTCCCTCCACCCACCAAACTCTGTGACCCTGTAACTTCCACTCAACCAAACCCATAGTCCCCCTGCTCTTTGCCCTTTTGGATTTTTATGTCCCTCTTACTACTTATCCTTCTTTTGGAAGCAGGAGTGACATCCCCTTCCTAAACAACATGCCTCCGGAAACTCTATGAACATTGGTAAATGTCGATAGTTGTAGAGGGGCTTCCTGCCTTTTGTTCATAGGGTCGCTATGAGTTGTGCTCTACTCAAAGGCAGTCAGCAACAACAACTTACCCTTTTATTTTTACAGTAATGGTGTTATGTAGTGTTTGTCCTTATGAGTCTGAGTTAATTCAACTCAGCTTGATGCTCTCTAGCTCTGTCATGTTCTATTTTTCAGAATCATTGTTCCTGAGTGCTGTATTTTATTATGTTTGTGAATGTACCACCGTTTCTCAGTCCGTTCATTTGTTGATGATGTTGGGGCTGTTTCCATCGTCTTGATATCGTGAATTACCCTGCTGTGAACACAAGTGTACAAATCTCTGTTTTCAGTGCTATTTTTAAGGGTATGCGGCATAGATACTTCTGGACTCTTGGAGGAAAGAGAAGTCCTGACTTTTTCGGAGATAGCTTAGTAAGGCAACTGCTTAAATAAACCAGAGGAATGTTGGTTTTAACGGCTCTTTAGGACATCACAGTGCCCTGACAGGACAGAAAGTGACTGCTTAACGATGTTTGATGGGCCAATCTGGAGTGCCTTTCTGAGGACATAACAAAAATCTGTTGGTCATTTTCTGAGCAGGAATATCACAGAGAGAAGAGACAGTGTAGTGTTCAAGGGAGGACTGAGCTCCATGTTCAAACCCATAAAATGACAGGGATGTTGAGGGTCATGTGACTGAGACAGGAGAGAAGCCAGGTGATGCGCAGTTTTGTGGGTGGGTGGTCGTTTTGAAAGACTGTGTGGATTGTTATTTGGTTAAAGGATGGACAGAGGGAGCTCTGGTGGCGTAGTGGTAAAGAATGGTACTGCCAACCTAAAGGCACGTGGTTCGAATCTACTAGCTGCTCCCAAGCAATTCATTGCCTCCGAAAATCCTCTGGAGGATCAGGTATGAGTCGGTTCCAACTCCGTATTACACAACAAGAAAAACCTACATTGTAGCTTATTATAATCCACTCTTGTGGATCATGCTATGTGAGGTAAAGGATGGAAACATGAAATCAGCGAGGAAGTGAGTGCTTCTAGTAGTTCAAGCAAAGATGGTGGCGCAGTGGAAGAGGTGGAGACAAGTGGTGAGTTCAGAATATGAATTGGAGGCATGGTGAGCCTGACTTGGTGATGAATTAGAGGAAAGAGTGCGAGAAAAGCAGAGATGATGTTTTGCTTAAGCAACAGGGCAGTTAGTATTGATTACTAACATGGAGAATTGGAGGAGAAATGGAAGTAGATGAGTAGAGGGACGGGGGAGAGGGTGAGACGTGGAGAATTTTGTTTACATCATATTGCGTTTGAAATAACTCTTAGACATCCATGTAAATGTGTCAAAAAGGGGGCGCTGGATATACGGATCCAGGGCACTAAGTGGAATTGGAAGGCTCTTCCCTCTGCTTTTATGCATGTTGTTGTTGTTGTTGTTGTTGTTGATGATGGCCTTCAAGTCAAGCACAGCTAATTCATTCCACTGACTAGCCTCACATCAACAAAGCAGTTGAAGGCAACTAAGAATTGTCCATACCCAGCTTCCTTGTGTGAATGATGTAGTTTGATAAGCCACTTTTGGGCCTAGGGTTGGGTGGCTGGAGCTAGCTAACCAAGGTTACACAGAGAGAGGGGCTGACACCAGGAGAGTCTGCAAGTAGACTTCTCAGAGTTTCAGTGACTGTTTTTCTATTGCTGGACAATAACTCTGAGCTTGTTATTTGCCCTCAAGTCAGAACGAACCCAGAGCTTTACATTACATGTTCAAATTATATGTAAAGGCCAGGCCATGTTGGTCAGCCATGTGCCTATACCTTCTGCTTCTTCCTGGGTTTTTTTTGGTTGTTTGGTGGTTTTCCCCTCCCCCTTTGACGGCAATCAACAACAACAGCTAATAAGTTTGGAGACATAATCCTTTTCTTACCACTGGAAATTCTACCTCACAGTTAACTTTTGCACCTTTTCAGCTCTCGTGTATCATCGTCTCCAGAGGCTATAGTTTACCACCATTCTGGTCTTTTGTTTTAAAATTCCATACGTGCTGCCGTTAAGCCACATGCCCTTGGTGTTTTGCCAGCTTCTCTGTCAGCACTGATAAATTCCTAAGTTACACGAGCCGCACTGGAGAGAAGAGTTTTATGGGTTTGGGATGTTGGAGGTTTTGTTTGTTTTGAGTTTTGGTTTTGTTTTGTGGCTGTGGTTGCTTTTTTCTGGTTCTCAGTGAGAATTGACATTTTTCAGCATCATTTCCAAAGAGAGCATCCTTACGCTGACTAAAATTGATCTCCGATTTCTTTCTAACGTGTTTAGAAACTTCCTTTGATTATTTACTTTGGCCGTAAGCATTACAGCCAGGGAACCTCCCAGATCCAGTGTGTTGAGGCCCCAGCACTATGAAATTCCTGTGTAAGCAAAACTAGAACGAGACAATTGCAAGTTGAGGCACTTCTCTTTAGCAGATGGCAAAGGAGGGGAGAGGTAGGGAGACGTTCTGAATCAACAGTGCTTTAGGTGTGGGCGAGGGGAACTGGGACAGAAGCTGGCCCGCATTTTACCAGAGCGCAAGTTCCTCTGGGTAGTGCAAGTGATTTTGCTCTAGACTGCTCACCTAAAGGTTGGAAGTTCAAGCCTATGCAATGACATGTTGGTGTGCAAAGCCTTGGAACGACATCAGAATCAGCTCTGTGGCAGCAGATTTTAAGTGATTCTCACTCTCTCCTTCATTCTTTGGAGCTCCAGGAATAGCTCTCAGCTTCCTGCTTCTATAGACAGACAACTAAGTTACATTTTACTGTTAAACAGGAAGCTGAATTCCTTTTTATGTATTGAACTGCACCTTCTGTGGAAAACCTGTCTTACTGACACCAGCACCTAGACATTGAAGAGGATACAGTACTGACGCTCAGATGCAGATTGAAGCAGCAAGAGATCTCTGGAAGAGAAAGGACCTTTTCCCATGGATTGCTGTGCTCCCAGCCACGTTTCCACTTTTGTTGTGCTGATCGTTTTGAGCACACTGATCTCC